ATTGGAGAAGTTTCATTAATGGATGTCATATCTTGATGGAGTAAGAATGAGTGATATATTGAGTGTTAAGGCAAGATTTATGGCTGATTTTAATGAGTGTAACATGAGGATCATTTTTATGTAAAGAATTATGAGTTTGGTTGAAGTTGAAGTTTGATGTTATTTTGAGGTTCATGAGTTGCAGCATTCGGGTTCTATGATAGAGTTTGTTTCCATGAAATCTAACACCATAGTCATGTTCAGCGGAAAAAATAGAGCAAGTTTGGTTCTTATATCGTGTTAATTGATGGGGAAACGAGGGAGAACGATGGAGTAGAAGTTCTGTGCATGGAGGTTGTTTTAATGGTGTTGCAGCAAACCCTAGTTGTCCAAGGAAGAAGAAGACTTCGTGTCCATTGGATGAAGCATTAACCGATTGACTTGAAGAAGCATCCTACGGCCTGCGTTTGATTTCGCGTTTTGAAGGGAGTCTGGGCAGCGAAACGTTGCGTTTCACTTAACGCAAGCTTCATGGGCTTAGTCATCTTTGCTATCCAAACCCCCCTTCGTGGCCCAATCCTGATTTGAACTAGATTCCCATGCTATTCGCACCGTCGTTTTGTTTTTTCTTTTGATTTTCCATTGTTTTTCTGATTTAAACTCTGGGCCCAGGCGCTTTACTCCTTGCACCCCCAGTATGGGCCCAAATCAAATTTAAACTGGATTTTATTTCTTTGTGCACCCCATGATTAATTGGCATTTTAATTTTTCTCCAAATTTTCTCAAACTTTAAAAAACCATATTAAATTGAAAAATGAATATTTTTTAATGGGATTTTTTTTCCCACTTTCCACTTTTTGTCAAGAAAAATATAAAATCATAAAATTGCCATTTTATTTCATTTTAATATTTTTTGCATATTTTCTCTCTTAATTGCTTTTTAATGCTTTTTAGTTGGTACCTTAATTTGTAGAATTTAGTTAGGGTAGTTCCCTTTATATTTTTAGGTCAATATTTTTAGGGTAGTTAGATGAATGTTTTAGGTTCCCCCTGGATTAATTCCATATTTTTGTGATGATTTTTAGGATAATTTTGATTAGATGCTATTAGGTAGTGTAGAATTAGGTTAAAACTTCAACATAGGTCCATAACAACTTTAGATTTTGGGTTTTTAGGACAATTTAGACTATGGGGCATATATGGGCATTAAGGGTAGGTATGTAGGGTCCCTTAGAAATTATATTAGGATTTAAAATGATAGTATGCTATTTTTAGTTTATTCTTGTATTGATTGATTGTTTGTGTTGCCTTTAAGGCATGTTTGTTTAGTTTGCTTTACTTTGTGAGCTTGGAAAGCTTGGTATCTCATTGTGGAGCATAGTAGAAGACTTGAAGATGCATTGAGGAGCTTGAGAGCTTGGTCTTCTTTTCTTTTTGTTTGGTCTTAGGGTTAGGGATTAGGAAGAGTTTAGATGTAGATAACTTCTTTCTCAAACATGGATGGTATCATTCACCTCCATTCCTCCCTATGATTCAAAGTCCTGCCATGGTATACACCTATCTCCTTTGGAGGGATAAGTGACATACCTAGGAGGTAGAACTTTTGAGGGAACCCTTCATTTGATGTTGAACCCTTATAGGTCACCTTTGGTGATCAAATAAGCAGTTCAATATCCCCCAGCTTATCCAGTAAGTGATTTTTCTCTGGTTTGATTGTCTTGAGAGATGCAGAGCCTGAGCATGAAGATGAAGACTTCATTGAAGAGTATTGAAGAGGATGAATCCTTGAGTACTGCCATTCCAGCTGAAGCTTGAAGAGCATGAAGATCAAGTTGACACTTGAAGATCCCTGAAGATTAGGTGAAGCCTGAAGGTGGAGCTGATCAAGAAGCTGAAGCTTAAGGGAGAAGATGAGTTGAAACTCATGTTGTAGGGTTGAAACCTGGAAAAGAAAACCGATGTTTGTCAAGTGATTGAAGTCTGAAGACTGAGTTGCTGTTGGAAAAGCTGAAGCTTGGAGTTGAGAAAAGAGTTGATCTGTTTCTTCTTTTTCTTTTCTGTATTGTGTGTTTTGTTTGACTTGTTTGATGCATTAGAATAAGTCCATACCTAGAATAAGTAGAATCTAGGAGCATGATTGCACTAGAGGTTGAGTTGCTCCCTCTGCTTGTATTGTTACTGTGTGGCTTTGCTTGCGGGTATTCGGTAGAGCTCAGCTCCCTTGCCCATGTGGTTTGTTTGCCTGATGGCATTTCATTTCATTTTATCTGTATGATTGTAGTTTACTGTTTATTGCTTGATAGCATGTTATTTATATTTCAGTATGATTACTGTTATTTCATTCTGGCTTGAGGTTGGGATGAGCTTGTGGAGGCTGAAGCCCCACACACATTTCCTCCCTCACTTGCATTGCATGCATTTTACTGTTAAGCTGATGCTTTGTCTGTTTTGGTGTATCATTGACATGATCCCTTAGGACTTTCATTTCCTTTGATAAGGATTTGATGATAGACTTTTAGGTTGAAACCTATGCATGACAACTTCTAGGAGTTCCCTGTTCAAACCTCAACCATAGGATGAATCCATGGCATGATAACAGTAGGACTTGATAGTCTCCCTCCTAGCTGGGCCTGTTCTCTTCTCATCTCAAAACAGTTTAAGATACAGTAATCATGAATGATTTCTTTCATACGTTACGAGCCTTAAGCTATCTGAGAAAGGATTGTGGGAGAGTTTCTTTTCCACAGTCTGGATGTTTAGTATGGTACCCTTTGGGTGACATGCGACGCATTCACTCTCAGGTCATAGTCTCTAGTGCGGTTGAAATCGCAAACACAATAAAAAACACTTCTTTCGTAAAAGACAGGAAATAAACCGTAGTTTCCCGAACTACGTGAGCGTTGATCTCTCATGCCTGTTGAGAGTACGTAGGCACAAGATGGCGATGTCTTGGCGAGCTACCTTCCCCCATAACCCTTCGTAGGCCGAACTACGTTGACTCTGATTTCTCGTTCTCTGATGAGAATACGTAGGCATAAAGTGCGACGCTTAGCCGAGTCATTTTTCTTTTCTTTTTCAGCCAGCCTTGATAGGTAGATAGAATAAAACCAACCCGTCCAAGTAAACTGACAAGCGTGGATCCCGTCGAGTACGACGGACGTGGGGGTGCTAATACCTTCCCCTTGCGTAACCGACTCCCGAACCCAGACAATGGTTGCGATGACCTTGTCTTACCCTTTTTCGTTAGGTTTTTCCGATCGTTTCCTTTCCCGCTCTGAGGGATAAATAACGAAAGGTGGCGACTCTTCTGTTGTGCCGACACCTTATTTTCACGAAAGCGACAACGTGCGATGAAGATTGAAAAGAAGTTGATTAAGATGGAAACGGCCCGACGACGAATCAAAGGTTTGGTTACGAGAATCGATACTAGTCCCTAGGGGTGCTCCTTAATATCGAAACCACGATGAAATGTGAAAGTGTGTGTGATAGGTTGATGGCGAATGCGAATGAGCAATCTACTTACGATGGGTGTTTGAAAATGACTCGATGACGAATCGAGAATTAGTTTGAAAACGGTTTAGTCTGCGCTAGTCCCTAGGGGTGCTTCTAGAAGGGAAACGACAATTAAAGCAAATACGAATGCGTACATTAGAATAAGAGCGATGTACATGTAAGTTACACAGGATTGCACGAAATAAATAGTCTCATTGTAAGGTAGCACAAGAGGAAGCCGTGTGTGTGAGGTGTCCTAAACTAAGCCTTGAGCAAGAGTCAGACGAAAGCTCCAAGTTAGGGTTTTTGTACAAAGTCCAAGTTCTGTTGTTTGAAAAAGTAACCACAGTCCACCAATTTAGCCTTTTAGAGTTTCGATAATTGTTAATGTGTTTTAAAAAGTATGAACAAGATATGATGAATATGAATATGATAAGATGATATGAACAATGTGAATAATATGACAAGATATATAACAATATAATCAAGATAATATTTACAATAGTATAATCAAGATAATATTAACAAGTATATGAACAAAGATAATAAAATCAAGATATATTGGCGGAAATTAAAACAAGAGTATATTGACGGAAATTAAAGTTAGTTGTTAGTCGATATTGAGTGAATCGGGTCAAAATATAGCGTTAAACCGTCGTAGCTCGATCTATGACGAAGATCAAATTATAGGAGATCGCGCAAGTTAATATTCGTGTTAAAAACACGATAGAGAAATGATATTTATGATCATTCTTCCAGGTAATCGTGCCACACGAATAGAAAAGGTGACAGTCTCGTCTTAATCGCAAACTTGTGTTAATTAATTGAGGGTAACCTATCACGATCCCAAAGTATAGAAAATGATCCCAATGATCATTCACTATAGATTTGAAATAATGAAGATTAACAACCTCAATAAATTAACGTTTATGAATAGAAAGACTTAATCGATCGGAAAAAAAAAAAGAATGACGAATAAAATGAAATGAGATAAGTAAGAAAAAAAACATGGTTTAATCTTAATCATAGATTTTTATCAATGAATCAAAAATCCACGACTATTAGAATTTCATCGACCAAAAGTTGAAAAGAGATACAAATTGTAATGAAAAGTAAATCAAGTCGTGATAAATACAAAATAAAGCCACATCAAAAAAGCTTGAGCAAATAAAATAATGAAAAATAAGTTAAAAAGTTAAATAAAATGAAAAATAGATAAAGTACAGAAAGTAGAAGAAAAAGGAGAGGTGATGTAAGAAGCAATGGGAGTAAGGTGGGGAAAACAACATGGGCTTATCAAAGCCCAGCTCACCAATTGGTTTGTAAAGAATACACAAAAAAAAAAAGTGGTGTAGGAAGTAAAACAAAAATAGGCCTAAGCCCAAGTGCACTTTGAGAAACAAAATAGAACAAATGAAAGGAAATGGGAAATCAGAAGCAAAGTCATCTTCTTCGGTCAAAATGTCTCGATGAAAACAGTAAATAAGATAAAATGAAATGAACAACAACAGCACCAACGCACGCGACCCATGCTCTCGACCCAACCTTCTTCCTCTGAATCGCGAAAATCTTTTCGCTTTCATCGGTGGGGATCACACGATTCACTCAACCTCGTTCTCGCTCAGGTTTGTGTGTTTTGAGATTTCGATTTGTTTATTTCGCTCGAATCTTTTCTTCTTCTTCTGTTTCTGGATCTGGTTTTGTTTGTGAATCGATTGGTTTATTGATTTGGAGATAGAGGTTGAATAATGATGGGCGAAGAAATTATGCAGGTGCGGTATGTAGGAATCACGTCGTGGTGGTGTGGCTTGAAAATTGTTCGTTGCGTGTTGATTTGGTTGGGATATAGCAGGTATAAATTAGAAAAGTTGCAGATAATTGTGTTTTTGGAAAGTTGTAAAAAATTCGTTTTGCACCTGGTACGGTTTGTGAATGCAGGGCATTATGGTTGGTTATGTCATGGTTATTGGCAATTGATGGTGGCTGCTACATTAGTTTTTTCTTGGCTTGGCAATACTACTTATTTCTCATTCACTTTTGTAAATTTATGAATCAAATGGGCTAGTAAAAATTTGGCTATAGGCTTCTCATTTATTTTGTATCTCCAGACTTTTGTAACATAATGGTGGTGAAAGATGGATCTTTTGTAGAATTCCTTCTTTTTCATGATGAATGGTGGACTTCAAAAAAAGTGACATGGACTTAGGATGTGGATTTGAAAATAACTAATGGTTAATGATTAAAATAAAAAATGGTGATTTGGTTAATAGAAAAGGGTAAATTGATTTTTTTTTATTTAAATTTTGTTTGAAATGGATATAGAAAAATATAGACATGACTTGGTTACGAATTGTCATTCCACTGACTTTTCAACAACACATCTGCAACTTGACTTCTCACATGAATCTCTGAACTTTTAATCAGAATTAGGACAATCTTGAACTTGTCTGAATCAATCCACAGCTTGTACAGTTAAACTAATGTCACCTTGATCGCGATAAACCAACAACTTCACTGTGAAGCACAAATCCTGATTTGATCGGATGATTCTCAATCATGAAACACTTATCCTTAGTCCAACCTAATGCCTTGATCATGAAACAATCTCTGATTTGATCGAATGATTCTCAATCATGAAACACTTATCCTTAGTCCAACCTAATGCCTTGATCATGAAACAAACTCTGGCCTGATCACACTTCCATTTGAACTTAAAATATTACCACACACATACTTTTGAATACATCCCAAATGAACTTTGATTTGATTCGATTCAACAACATTTTTTAGTAGATGGATATACAAGTGAAAGTTATATACAGATAAGATAAATTTGGGGTATGACACACTCCCTTACTTAATAACCGTTAGATATTATTTGTTATAGTTTTTATTAATTCTGTTATTAAGTCCTAGTATTTAGGAAGAATGAGTCAGTCATGCTGTCCTAATTTTTAGGGAGAGTCAGTTTTTATTTCAGTTTCTTAGTAACCACGTAGTAGGCTTATAAACGTGGTTTTCTGCCACTCTTCTGTTCTGGAAAAAGGCTATAAAACAGCCTCTGTTTGTTTTGGATTTTAATGCAGTGTGTTATTTCTTCTACTGATATCTCTTAGTCCTTGAGTTTTAACAATTGGTATCAGAGCTCCGAAAGGGGCCTGATAGAGTGTGAGTTAAACAAAGAGAGAACAAAATGTCAACCTCAGAGAAGTTTGTGCAACCGTCCATTCCGAGGTTCGATGGCCATTATGATCATTGGTCAATGATGATGGAGAACTTCCTAAGGAGCAAGGAGATGTGGAGCCTAGTGGACGAAGGAATTCCAGCGTCGGCAGTTGGGACAGCAGCAGCAAGTGAAGCACAGAGGAAGACTGTGGAGGAGGCCAAACTTAAAGATCTGAAGGTCAAGAACTTCTTATTCCAGGCGATTGACAGAGAAATCCTGGAAACAATTCTTGACAAGGGGTCGTCGAAGGAAATATGGAACTCAATGAAACAGAAGTATCAAGGGTCCACAAGAGTAAAAAGGGCACAACTTCAAGCATTGAGAAGGGAGTTTGAGTTGCTCACCATGAAAGAAGGAGAAAAAGTCGACAGTTTCTTAGGACGAACCTTGGTCGTGGTGAACAAGATAAAGTCAAATGGTGAGACAATGGATCAAAGTACAATGGTTAGTAAGATACTTAGATCATTATCAAACAAATATAATTATGTTGTTTGTTCAATAGAGGAGTCAAATGATCTAAGTACCTTAAGCATTGATGAGTTGCATGGAAGTCTCCTTGTACATGAACAAAGGATGCAAGGAAACCAAGAGGAGGAACATGTGTTGAAAGTAGCGCATGAAGACATGCCAAATAGGGGAAGAGGTCAAGGAGGTTTTAGAGGAGGACGTGGCAGAGGTAGAGGGAGACACTTTCTAAACAAAGCAATTATTGAGTGTTTCAAATGCCATAAGTTGGGACACTTTCAAAACGAGTGTCCTGATTGGAAAAAGAAAGTAAATTATGCTGAGTTGGACGAAGAAGAAGAGCTTTTATTGATGTCCTATGAAGAACCTCATCAAACAAAGAAAGAAGAAATATGGTACTTTGACTCGGGCTGTAGTAATCATATGACAGGGAACAAGGAATGGTTTTTAGACTTAGAAGAAGATTACTGCAAAACAGTGAAGCTTGAAAATGATATGAGAATGACAGTAGTAGCAAAAGGAAGTGTAAGGATGGAATTGAATGGCATAACTCAGGTAATATCGAATGTTTATTATATTTCTGAGCTTAAAAACAATTTATTAAGCATAAGACAACTTCAAGAAAAGGGGTTAGCCATTTTGATTCGGGATGGAACTTGCAAAGTATTTCATCCTAAGAGGGGGTTAATTATGCAAACTGATATGAGTAGAAATAAAATTTTTCATGTGTTAGCTTCCATGGCACAAAAACATTCTTTGTGTTTACAAGCTGAAGCTGCTTCAGAAGAAGATACTGTGTCAGAAAAAGAAGCGCACATGTGACATTGTCGCTTTGGGCACTTGAATCACAAGGCACTAAGAACACTTTCCTACAAGAAGATGGTAATTGGTTTACCCTCTTTGAAGTCTCCAAAGAAGATATGCACTATATGCTTAACGGGCAAGCAACATAAAAATCCTATTCCGAAGAAGAGCTTGTGGAGAGCATCAAAGCAACTTCAATTAGTACATTCAGATATATGTGGTTCTATCAAGCCACCTTCGAACAGTGACAAAAGGTACATCTTAAGTTTTATTGATGATTTCACTCGTAAAACCTGGGTTTACTTCTTACATGAGAAGTCAGAAGCCTTTGCAACATTCAAAATTTATAAGGCTTGTGTTGAAAAGGAGACGGGGGCACACATAACTTGTTTGAGGACAGATAGGGGTGGTGAGTTCACCTCAAATGAGTTTGAAGAGTTCTGTCAATCTCAGGGCATCAGTCGACAATTGACGGCGGCTTATACTCCTCAGCAGAACAAAGTTGCTGAAAGGAAAAACAGGACGGTTATGAATGTTGTTCGATCCATGTTAAATGAAAAGCAAGTACCAAAAGCTTTTTAGCCCGAAGCTGTAAGATGATGTGTGCATATTCAGAACCGTTGTCCAACAGCAGCAGTTGAAAACAAGACTCCAGAAGAGGCTTAGAGTGGTGAGAAACCTGTGGTGGAGTATTTTCGAATCTTTGGATGTGTTGCACATGTTCATGTACCAGATCAAAGAAGGAGCAAGTTGGATGATAGGAGTAGAAAATTTATCTTTCTAGGAGTTAGTATGAGTCCAAGGCATGGAGATTATACAATCCAACTTCAAAGAAGATTATTGTGAGTAAAGATGTTGTTTTTGAAGAAGAAGAAACCTGGGACTGGGGCAGAACAAAGGAAGATATCAAGCGAGATATATTAGAATGGAAAGATGAGAGTGATGGAGAGGATGACTAGAATGAAGGGGAAAATGGTGGAACAGACTCTAACAGTTTGAGTAGCAATCCTACAGAGTCACCTCCAAATGATCCAAATACATATGGAGAATTGAATGAAGGGAGGGGTAAACGAGAAAGAAGAGCACCGAAATGGATGGAGAATTATGCAACTGGGGAAGGATTATCCGAAGAAGAAAACTTGAATGTAATGATGGAAGAAAATTTGAATGCAATGATGATGATGACTGAAAATGATCCAGTTTCATTTGAAGAAGCTATGCAGAGCAAAAATTGGAGAGAAGCAATGTCAAAAGAAATTGAAGCCATAGAAAAGAATTAAACTTGGGAACTTACTGTGTTGCCTAAGGGAGTCAAACCTATTGGAGTTAAGTGGGTCTTCAAAACAAAGCTTAACGAAGATGGGAATGTGGAGAAACTCAAAGCAAGACTGGTGGCAAAAGGGTATGTACAACGCCATGGAATAGATTACACCGAAGTATTTGCACCAGTGGCAAGACATGACACCATACGTGTGATACTTGCAATGACTTCTCAATTCAGTTGGGAGGTTTTTCAACTCGATGTGAAGAGCGCTTTTCTTCATGGGGAGCTCAAGGAGGAAGTGTTTGTCCAACAGCCTGAGGGATTCATAAAGAAAGGAGAAGAAGAGAAAGTCTATAGGTTGAGGAAGGCATTGTATGGCCTTAAACAGGCGCCGCGAGCTTGGTACAGTAGAATTGATGCCTATTTTGTTCGTGAAGGGTTCAAGAGGTGTCCTAGTGAGCACACACTATTCACAAAGTCTCTAGGAGGTAAAATATTAATAATAAGTCTTTATGTTGATGACTTAATATTTACTGGGAATGATCGAACTATGCGTGATGAGCTCAAAAATTCAATGATGTCGGAATTTGATATGTCTGACTTGGGAAGGATGAAACACTTTCTCGGAGTAGAAGTTAAACAGTGTTCGGAGGGAATTTTCATCTGTCAAAAGAGGTATGCGCGTGAAGTGTTAGCAAGGTTTGGTATGGTGGACAGTAATGCAGTGAAGAATCCAATAGTGCCCGGTTCAAAGTTGTCTAAGGACGAAGGAGGAGTTAGAGTTGATGAAACTCTATTTAAACAGGTGGTTGGAAGCCTCATGTATTTAACTGTAACTAGGCCTGACTTGATGTATGTGGTTAGTCTAATAAGCAGGTTTATGTCTAATCCCACCATGTCACACTGGCTTGCAGCAAAAAGAATTTTAAGGTACTTAAAAGGTACAACTGATCTTGGTATTTTTTATAAGAAAGGAGAAAGCAGCTTGAGACTCACCGCCTTTACAGATAGTGATTATGCCGACGACTTAGATGATCGAAAAAGTACCTTTGGGTTTGTGTTTATGATGGGGTATGGAGTTGTCTCTTGGTCTTCAAAGAAACAAACAGTAGTTGCTCTTTCGACTATGGAAGCAGAGTACATAGCAGCAACATTATGTGCTTGTCAGTGTGTCTGGCTCAAAAGGGTGCTGGAGAAACTGGGAGTTGAAGACAAGACAAGAACTATAATTATGTGTGATAACAGCTCCACTATACAGCTATCCAAGAATCCAGTGTTACATGGAAAAAGCAAGCATATCGATGTAAGGTTTCATTTCTTAAGAGACTTGGTGAATGATGGAGTCGTTGAACTAAGCTACTGCAACTCTCAGGATCAAATTGCAGATATAATGACAAAATCAATTAAGTTGGAGCAGTTTGAGAAGTTCCGCAACATGCTTGGAGTGACTGAAGCTACTAAAGTAAGCTAGATGCAGATACATTAGCTTAAGGGAGGGATTGTTAGATATTATTTGTTATAGTTTTTATTAATTCTGTTATTAAGTCCTAGTATTTAGGAAGAATAAGTCAGTCATGCTGTCCTAATTTTTAGGGAGAGTCAGTTTTTATTTCAATTTCTTAGTAACCACGTAGTAGGCTTATAAACGTGGTTTTCTGCCACTCTTCTGTGAAAAAAGGCTATAAAACAGCCTCTGTTTGTTTTGGATTTTAATGCAGTGTGTTATTTCTTCTAGTGTTATCTCTTAGTCCTTGAGTTTTAACAATAATCACCACTCCATGATTCTAATTAAAAACAAAATTAAATTATATAATAAATTTAATTATGAGTTGTAAATGTCTATTAGAGTTAATATATTATTATATAGTAGAGAAGTGAACCAAGAAAATCAGATGATCTTGATAACTATGTTGGGATCCATGTCACATCCACAACTTTCTTGTGTTTTATTCTCTATATGTCTCATTGTGTCTGCATCATTTTCATTTGATTTTAAAATGGAATCGTAAAATCCAAAGAAAACCAACGTGTGAGACCAAAGAAAAGACTACCTTTTAATTGCATTGCGTGCGCTAGGTAAACTCTAAAAATTGACATTATTGTTTCTATGTGAAAATTGATATTATTGTTGTTGAGGGGGAATAACTGCTCAAGACCCAAACAGAAGTACAATACTACAAAACAGTTTTGAGGTGGTTTCAAATTTCCACTCACTATGAGAGATTGCGTACATACAAAATGTAGCATGTTGTTTTCACCTTGTTAGGACTCAAGCATCCATTCTTCACAAATTAACAAACAAACTTCACTGCAGATTATGAGATTCTTAGTTATAGAAATTTGAGTAAAATTCTATGCAATGTTAACATCATGACATGAAATCATACGAAGGCATTTTCAAAATATTGAAGAAAGATCAGCCTCGACCTTAGTAGCACTGACACCTCTAAATAAAATTGTATGTGTTCAACACATCACAACTCCAACACATATGATTATGTTATTTTTTTTTAATATATTATTGTTAGTGTCAACGTATCAGTGTCAATGTTTGTATTCGTACTTTATAGGACTCAACCCCGTTACCAGAGGCATGCATTCCTAGTCTGATACCATAATCTGCATAACAGAAACCAACTTTAACATTACAAAAGCAATATCATACTTAAGTACATTGAATGTCTTTTCCCAACACAAAGTTGGATTGTACATATTTTACAATCAATAACAACATATTCCAAGGATTTTGTCACACATAATCTAGATCCTAGGGGAAATATGAACCTGCAATGGATTTTTCATGACCATAGTAAACTCCTGTTTTTCTGACAAATCCACATCTCCACCCTTTGGAACCTTCCATTCAAAATTCCAAACCAGATTAGCCACAAAATATTCCAAATGAAGCAAAGCTAAATGATATCCTGGACAAATCCTCCTCCCAGCTCCAAAAGGCATCATCTTTATCTCTTTACTTCCCGTAATATCAAACGTGTCATCCTTCAAAAACCTCTCCGGCTTAAACTCCATTGGATCCTCCCAAACGAGAGGATCCCAACCCATCTCCGCCACCATAAAATTCACAGTCCCATCTTTAGGCACCAAATAACCATTCAAAACCACATCCTCTGTCACCGCGTGGGGCAACACAAAATGCCCCGGTGGATGCCGCCTCAATCCTTCCAAAACCACACATTTCAGATAAGGAAGTTTCTGCAAATCTTCCTCTTTCACTTCCTTCTTCACTCTATTATCATCACCACTAATCACCTCCCTAATCTCCTCCACGAGCTTTCTCTGCACGTCCGGATACTTCACCAAATTCGCCATGATCCACTGCAAAGCCGTCGCAGTTGTGTCCGTGCCACCATTCAAAAACTCAGAACAAAGACTAACAATTTCATCATCATTCAACTTTCGTTTCTCCTCCTTTAACTCCAATTCCAGAAGAGTATCTGCATAAGAAACAACATTCTTAATTCCCTTATTTTGCTTCCTCGCTCTTATCAGCGGAAGCAGAACATCTTGTTGATTCTTACGCAACTTCAACAACTCCTCCCATCGTTTCCGCAGCAAAATCTTAGTAACCTGAGGCCAGAAATTCAATATATTGAATCTATTCATACTCAACAGAGGCGTCCTTTGCACGCGTTCAATTTCATTAACTTTCTCATCGTTAACTCTTTCACCAAAACACATAAAAACCAGTAAACAGAACATGGCGTAATGAAAGTGAGGAACAACGGTAAAGGATCCCGACTCCGACGCGGTTTTGAGACGGTTGATGAGAGTGTCCAGGACCCAGTTCCGGATTTCCGAGAAAGATTTGATTTTCGACGGATGAAGCATCTCGGAGGCGAGATTACGACGGAGGGTCCTCCACGTGGCACCGTAAGAAGCAGAACTAATATTATGTTGGTTGCTGGACATGAGTTTTCCGGTGGGAAGTGCTTTAGGACGGTCTGAGAAGATTGATGAGTTATGAACGAGAGCCTGGTGAGCGAGAGAACGATCGGCGATGAAAACGGAAGGTCGAGAACCGATTCTGAGAGTGATGATAGGACCATGTTTGGCGTGGAGGGTTTTGAGAAAAGGTTCGAGTTGGGAGAAGGATTTTCGGAGCCATAGGATGGGTGTGAGGATGGGGATGTGGAGAGGACCGGGAGGGAGAGAGGCGGTTTTGGCGGTGGTGAGGGTGGAGACGGTGGCTCTGATGAGGAAGATGATGCAGAGAGAGAGTAGTGCGATGAACCACGTTTCCATTGTTATGTAAAACTGTTTGTGATGATGAATGAGTGGAAATGGAATATATAATATAATAGCAACCATGAATAAAAATATACTAATATCGTAAGATATTAAATTAAATTTAAATTAAAATTTCAAATGATTTTGTCACCATTTATTTGTTCTTAACTGAATTTGGAGATGAAGGATATCACACGCTTCTCTTTGTTTTATATATATGGTCAAACTTTTATTATATTTCTCTTTTCTTTTTCTTCTTAATAAACAAAACAAGAAATTTTATTAATTTGAAGATAAATTTTCTCTCCACCCATTATAGGATGATTTTAAAATAATTCACTTGGATTTATGGATATAAAGTATTATAATTTGTTTTTAATATGATACAATGTATCGTGTATATTTATTGTTTCAATACTTGTCATTTATATTGTTTTTTAGTTGTTTATTTTATATATGTGTTAATGGATAAACATCGTGTTTGAAAGGATTCTGGAAGGATCTTTTCGAACTCTATTTTAAGAAAGACGTTTTTGAAACCATGAATAAATGTTATTTAGAGGGATCTTTTTGGAATGACAATAAGTGATTAAACAACTTTGCTTTGTTACATTTTGAATATTGATTATTGTTTGGGAATTTCTTATAGCATTTTATAAGATGATACGAAAAAATCGAAATTTCTCTTCAAATTTTAAAAATATATATTCCAACATATCTTATTTTAAATTAAAATATTAACTGATTTATATATATATATATATATATATATATATATATATATATATATATATATATATATATATATATATATATATATATATATATATATATATATATATATATATATATATATATATATATATATATATATATATATATATATATATATATATATATATATATATATATATATATATATATATATATATATATATATATATATATATATATATATATATATATATATATATATATATATATATATATATATATATATATATATATATATATATATATATATATATATATATATATATATATATATATATATATATATCAGAAATATTTTGAAATATGCACCACTATAGTGGTAAATCAAAAACTTTTTTATATTGAAAGGAAAAAATAATTTATAATATTTTAAAAATAAAATTTTTAAATGTTATAAATTGGACTATTTTATCAACAAAAGTTTTTAAAATAATCTGTTTTAAACTGAGTCTGAGACTGATCCACTGTCGGGCACGACCCAACCCAACTCCATGTCAGGGAAGGTCCAACACAAAAGCCTCCGTTTGCATAATTGTTGGAGACTACACACCTCACACACTCATCATGCGTCCTCCACGTGCTTCCCACACGGAAACACATCATCAATCAATTATCCACATCCGAGAGAACATGTCCTCCACTCCCCGGAGTTCGTGGGGCAGTTGACTCAAGACGAATACCACATGCGGGTCTTCCTTACTGCCATGTAGGATCCTGACAGTCATTTATCGTGGGCCTTGCGATCCAGCCCAAAGCAGACGACCGTTGACCCAACGCTGGGGGCACATTATAAATACCTTTCTCTACAAGAAGGTTAGGTATTCTAAACTCACTCGCTTTTTGTACTTGCTCTCTCTTTCACTCCCTTTCTCACTTTGGCATTAGAGTGTCTTGCAGATAAACCCCCTTCTCTTCCCCACCACCGGCGAACTTGAAGCTCACGACGTATTGCTAGCTGTTGATCCCCTTTTTGATCCGGTAAGATCAGTGGCGCCGTTTGTGGGAACATTTTGCTCCCTCGTGTTTTCTTTCTCCGAAATCAAAGGACCAAAGCAAACCTTTAACCTCTTTCGATCATGATCTGTCAACACGTTGACGACAATGTCCACGAAGCTGCCTTCACCACCTTCATTGACGACGACGACCACGACAATAATGTGGCGTCTGCTGTTGGAGAAGGTGACCCTTGAGACGGGCTCACCGCCTCTCCCTCCCCCGACAATGCAGCCTACAACACCGCCCAACGTTTCGAGAGTCCAGCGATTTTCCAGCCAATTCTTGTGCCGCTCAACGCCGACCCTACCACGGTGGCCTTGTTCGCGACAATCAACCAGATGAGCCTGATGATTTTCCAGCAAAACGAACGCATCAGAATGCTGAAGAAAGAACGATAATCGCGCTCTCCCCCGCGGAGACATTGGCGACCAGTTTCTCGTAGCCCGTCCCCGTGACGACGAGAAACTCGTCCTCACTCTCCCCCGTAGAGAGACCAACGGGACGAATCTCAAAGCCCCTCACCGCGACAACCCGGACATCGACTGCGGCTATAGAGGCCAAAAGCCGCGATCACCCAGAAGCGAGATCACAATCCTCCCCGTAAAGAACGATGCTTCCCGATTCCCAAAAGAAACAAAGTCGGCGGGTAGCTGGAGAATCCAAAGGGTCGACCAAGGAATTCGCTGCGCTGCGGCAGAAGCCCCCAGTACGACCGCTCCTTGTCGCACTCAATAGTCCGAAGTGACGAAGACGACCCTCGTGGTCCTCTATCCCGTGCAATTATGGAGGCCCTCATCCTCGTCAAAATGGAAAAACCACAGAGTCTGGTGATCTACGATGGCACGACGGACCCAAACGATCACATCGAGAACATCGATGCAATGCTTGATTATCGTAATGTTTGGTGCGCCATCAAGTGTCGACTCTTCCCCCACGACTCTAAGGAAGGAAGTCGTGGCATGGTATAAGATCCTCGACCTTGAATCTATCACCTCCTCGAAGGACCTGAAGACGCAGTTCACCAGGCACTTCACTACCTTTTGACGACACACGAAATCCGGGGCGTTGCGGGGCGTTGCTCGAAGCCATTATTCAGGGGAAAGACGAATCTCTCCAAGACTATATAGAGAGATTCAATCGAGAGGCCGTTCAGATCTCCACGACTGACCAGATGAAAAGATACTTGCTCGAGCGAGGGTTGCGTCCTCACAGCGACTTTGCCAAAGCAGTGGGCATTAAGACGCTTCACTCGTTGGATGCCCTTCTCCTCAAAGTCCACGCGTACATCTAGTACGAGGAGAGAGAGGTTGCCAACAATGCCCGCGACTCACTGAACAAGGAGGGTACCAAAGTTGTGAAACACAAAAACACCATGGCTCTCCGACGTGGCGGGGAAAAAAGAAGAGAAGATAAGACCCACGACTCCCGCGAGCACCGCGGACCAGCATGCTGGTTTTCTGAGTACACACTGCTAACCGCTCCCTGCAAGCGCGTTCTGGTCGAGTGTGCAAACTCAAAATTCCAGCAAGGGGGTATTCGCTTCCCCAGGTCGACGCCCCCTAAGCCAAACGTTGATAGATCCAAGTACTGCTAGTTCCACAGGAGCCACGGGGCACGTCACGGAGGACTATATCATGCGATTGAAATCCTGCCTCAGTTGTTATCTAAAAGTGTCATTGACGAATGAGTGAAAATTGAATATTATATAACATAATTTAAATACGGATAAGAATATACTGCCTCAGTTTCTTTTGAAGAGTTACTTTTTATTTTTTACATATATAAAAAAAAAACTAATTAATATTGTTACTTTTTATATAATAATTTTTTTTTATCTATAATATTTTTAATTATTTATTATATTTATTTGATTTTTTCTTCTTTATGTAATAATTATTTAAGAATAATTTTGACAAAAATATATTTAATATTATTTAAACTTTATAAGTGACAATTAAAAAAAATAAAAAATTATTTAAAAATTGACACTTAAAAAAGAACCGAAAGAATAATGTTTAATAGCAACCACAAAAAAAAAAGTACTAATATCATAAGATATTAAATTAGAGTGATGTAAATGATATTAATTAAATTAAATTTTCAAAAAATATGTGCTAATATCATAAGATATTAAATTAGAGTGATGTAAATGGTATTAATTAAATTAAATTTTCAAATGATTTTGTAACCATATGTTTTTGTTCTTATCTGAATTTGGAGATGAAGGATATAACACGCTTCTCTGTGTTTTATTCCCTAAATTTCATAATAAATAGTTCATTTAAAATATAAAAAAAAAAGTGTTTTAAAAAATGAATAATTCGTTTCAAACTTTAATATATATATATATATATATATATATATATATATATATATATATATATATATATATATATATATATATATATATATATATATATATATATATATATATATATATATATATATATATATATATATATATATATATATATATATATATATATATATATATATATATATATATATATATATATATATATATATATATATATATATATATATATATAATTTTATTTTTTAATTAATATTATTTTTATCATTTTCAATATATGATAAATATATTTTAATAAAAATATCATTATTTTTCGTTTATTTATTTTTTTATTTATAATTTGTGTAAAAGATCAATTAAATTACGACGAAAAAAATATATATTTAGAATCTAAGTTGATTTTGTCGATTTACATTAAATTTCTTGCCTAAATATTAGGCAACTTTAATTAATAAAATTAGGCTTAACGCATGTTTCGGACAAAATGTTATAAGTTTTTGAATTAAAAAATGTTATAAGTTAATCTCTTAATTTATCTTTTATTATTTTATTTGGTTTTTTTAAGTCAATTTTGAACAAAATATTTTAAATTATGGTAACGTTTTCATTAGTATAAATGTAAGTTAATATATCTAGTTAAAAATTAATATACTATATAAATTATAAGAGAATTGTTTTGACCTTCCAAAACAAAATCCTAATAATTTAAACACACATACTCTTTGACGTTTGACGCATATTTGTATGAACGACTTTATTGTAATGACGCATAACGGAAACTCATTAAATTAAGAAACTTTGATAACTAATTATAAAATAAAATTAAGATTTCGGTGTAATTATGTGTTTTGGGCCAATAAACCATTGTCATTACTCATTACAAATAAACGTGTAATATAAACAATTAAGTACTCGTCTCTCCTTTACTTCT